ACACACACACACACACACACACACACACTCAGTCCTCCTCTGGCTTCCCATTTCTTGACCTGTGGTTAACTTCATCCCCTTTCCATTGTTTGATCAGTAGCCAACATAATTACTGTTGAAGGAGATGCTTGAAAAACAGGATAGCAAATATAATACACGTTTTGGTGTATCTTTTTACAGCAAAACACTTTTGTTGTCAAAAATCAAATATTGCTGGGTGCAGTGGCACACACCTGTAATCCTAGTGGCTTGGGAGGCTGAGGCAGGAGGATCTCAAGTTCAAAACCAGCCTCAGCAACAGAAAGATGGTAAGAAACTCAGTCGACCCTGTCTCTAAGTAAAATGCAAAATAGAGCTGGTGATGTGATCAGTGATTGAGGGCTGCTGGGTTCAATCCCTGGTCACTCCCCACCACCCAAAAAAATCACAAATATTTATGTTTATTGTTTATACATGCTCACCTAGAATAGTCACCTGAGATGTTATTTGGTGAAAAATATTATCCTATTCTTGCACACACATATGACAGATGCACACACACACACACACACACACACACGTATGTAGATTTGTGTTCATTCACCACTGGTCCCTAGCACCTAGGGTATGACTCAGAACATTACAGGCAATCACTATCTACCTGTTAGATGATCAAATCAGAAATCTCTGGAAGGATGCAAGACTAATGGTGTTCACTTCAAGGGAACAGGATTGAGGGAAGTAAGTGAGAACAGAGCGTTTTATTCTATACACACATTTGAGTTGATTGCTTTTCCCCCCACAAGCATATAGTAATTTTTCACTAAAAATAAAGTTTTAAATTTTTTAAAATGTACTTATTACCTTGACCTTGAACTCTGTTTCAAAATTATTATCCGAACAATCTTTGGGGATGTAGAAGCTGGGGTTGCAACTGAATGGTAGAGTGCTTGCCTAAGATATGAGAAGATGGGTTAGGCCAACAGCACTATAAGAAAAAAAAAATCACTAGAATGATCTGTTGAGGTGTAAGGGGAAATAGCACTTTTTTGTGAAATAGTTGGTACCAGGGTAGTTTGAAGAAGCTGTCAGTGTTGGGAGATGAGAACAGAAAAGAATAGTATGGGGAAAGAATAGTAGGGAGAGCAAGGGAAGGGGAGAGATGAAAAGATCTTTCTCTTCTCTTAGATGTCCTTGAGTGGATTGGGAAAAGCTGGGAAGATATTTCTGTTAAATGCCACATCTGGAACACCATCCATCAGGAGGAAAAATTGGAACCTTTTCTTCCAGTGTTCCGCCACCTATTTCCAGGGATGCGGGGCCTAAGGACTCAGTGGGAAAAGCATCAGTGCTGAAATGCTGCTCTTAACTGCTGTTAGCTGTGCCTTTCTTCCCTCTAAATTCATCCTGGGCAGGAAGGCAGACATGTGGGAGAGTGGCCTTGGCTGAGGCCCCCCCTGAAAAGCAGACTGAGGATGTAAATGGTTTAGCATATTCTGGACTGGAGAAATTTCTGTTTGAACATCCCTATTGCAATTACAGCAAAATATGGGTGACAGGGGGATATCAAGGAGACTGGGATATAAATACCTCTAGGCCCAGGGGCTTCCTGCTGGTTTTCAGGCTAACACATCTACCCTTTTAGGTGCCATCTCAGGGGAGCATGACCTCATTGAGGACCTGTTATCACATTTAATCCTCCAAACGGTCCTGTGAGGTGCATTGGCTATCATCCCCCCTTTACCTTTGAAGAAACTGAGGCCCAAAGACATTGGGTAACTTCTTCAATCACACTCATGTATTCGATGGGGGAGGATTGAGATGCCCAGCGGTCTCACTGCCAGTTCCTCCATTATCCACTTGCAGTCCGTGTTTCCTGAGCTCAGGTGGAGCACAGTAATTTGCTTTCTTTGCACAACTCTTGACAACACTCCAGAGGGGAATGAAAGGTGTAGGCAATACAAGGGTGGGGCTGTGACTGTGCCAGCTAGTCTCCCTGCTGCTATTTATACAGTGACAGCTGCAGAATGAATAGATAGAGCAGCTAAGGTGTGGGTCAGCCCTCCCTCCTGCTAAAAGGAGGGGAGAATTTGTGTCTGCTAGATTCTAGAGTTTGCTACATCTTTATCAGTTTGGGAGGCTATACCAGAATATCAGGGTGGTCAAAGCAAAAAACAGTCTTTTTTTTTTTTAATAGTTCAGGAGGTTGTGAAGTTCAAAGTCAAAGCACCAGTAGATGGGAGACGGGAACAGAAAAGAATAGCATGGGGAAGAAATAATAGGGAGAGCAAGAGAAGGGGAGAGATGAAAAGATCTTTCACTTCTCTTCGATGTCCTTGAATGGATTGAGAAAAGCTGGGAAGATACTTCTGTGTGTGGAAAGCCTACCTCTTGGTGCAAAGTCTTCTTCTTGGTGTGTCCTTATATGGCAGAAGGAGGGCTAGGGTGCTGGCTGGGATCCCTTCTGTAAGGGTGCTAATCCATTCATGAAGCCTCCACTGTCACGACTCAGTCCCCTCTCAAAGGCCCCACCTCCCAATGCCACCTACTTGGGGTTAAAATTTTAACACATAACCAACCAAATGCGCATACCTATAATCCCAGCAGCTCAGGAGGCTGAGGCAGGAGGATCACAAGTTCCAAGCCAGCCTCAGCAAAAGTGAGGCGCTAAGGAACTCAGTGAGACCCTGTCTCTAAATAAAATACAAAATAAGGCTGGGGATGCAACTCAGTGGTCAAATGCCCCTGAGTTCAATCCTTAGTACCCTGCCCCTGCCAAAAATCAGTAGAAATTAATAAGTGTTGGTGAGGATATGAATAAAGTAGAACTTTTGTGCCCTGTTGGTGAGGATGGAAAATGGCAGTGCTGCTATGGAAAGCAGCACAATAGTTCCTCAAAAAATTAAACACAGAATTACCATATGACCCAGCAATGCCACTTCAGGAGAAGCAGGGGCTTGAACAGATATCTGTACACTTGCGTCCGCAGCTGAGATACAGAAACAACCAGATGTCTATCAACAGATAAATGCATAAATAAAATGTGGTACATACAGAGAATGGAATATTACTCAGCCTTAAAAAGGAATCAAGTTTTGACACACGCTATAACATGGGTGAACATATGGATGTATAATAAATAAAATAAACCAGTCACAAAAAGACAAATACTGTGATCCACTTACATGAGGTACCTAGAGCAATCAAATTTATAAAAACAGAAATTGGACTGGTGGTTGAGAGGGGCTGGAGGAGGGGGAAATGAGGAGCTATTTATGGAGTACAGAGTTTTAGTTCTGTGAGATAAAAAGGCTTCTGGAGATGGAGAAGGGTGATGGAAGTGGTCATATGAATGAACCTAATGCCACTGAACTACACACTGGAAATGTTTAAGGTGGTAAGCATTATATATGTTTCAGCACAATTAAAAAGGAATCCCACAACTGCCCTGAGAGGTTGGTTGTATTACTCTCATTTTATAGGTGAGGAGATTAAGGGGCAGAGAAGTCAGGTAGCTCGTTAGGACTATACTGCTGGGTTTCAAATCGGATCTAATTCCTGGTGTACCACACTTGCCTGCACTGTGCAATGGTAACCCCACTCAAAGAACCACAGAGGGCACCAGGCACACACCAATGTCACAGGGCTTGACCTTGGGCAGCCCTAGCCTCTCCTTTCTGTGTGTGCCCTTTCCCTTTTGAGACTGCCTTCCTCCAACACTGCTTCTCCTGTTCATAATCCCTCCTCCATCTTTCCCTCATCAAAACATGCTCTAAAGAAAACAAAAACAAAAAACCAATCACTCATTGATACTTAAATTACATGTTGTGAATTTAAATCATACACTACCTCTCTGAGGAGGTGCTGGCATTTGTCAACTGTGTGACACGAAAAGCTTTGTTCCATATTTAAGGACTTCCAAGTGTCAAGGAGCACATGGGGAAGAATTGGAGGGTGTGGTAGCAGCGATAACCCAAGAAAGGTATTAAGTTGATGGAACCTTCAGGCTCAAAGTTAAAAAGAAGATGTATTTAGGGGGTGGGCAGATCTTCAGGGCTCCACAAAGATATGAAGTGTGGGTGGAGGGAGTTACGTGGCTGGACTGTTTATGTCCAACTCTTCTCTTGAGTAAGCAGGGCTGCTAGATTTCCAAGACTCCAAACTCTTATTTTGTCATCAGAACAATGCACACTCTGGAAAAGAGAATGTGGAGGGTGGATTTCCTCAGGGTATCATGTTCCTGGCATTTCTCAATATCTCCTCTCTACTTGTTCCATTGCAAAATTCCAAGCAGCAAGATGTGGCAGCTGGAGATCTCTGTCCATAACATCGTGGGAAGGATTCGTTTAGCATCAAGAATGCATTTTCTCTAGGCGCAGTGGCACGACCTGTCATTGCAGTGGCCTGGGAGGTTGAGGCAGGGGGGATTGCAAGTTCGAGACAAGCCTCAGCAACTTAAGGAGACCCTTTCTCAAAATAAAAAGGGCTGGGGATGTGGCTCAGTGATTAAGAATCCCTG